TCCCCGGTTTGTTTGCATTAGCAAATGTGTTATGTTTAATATACTTCAAATTGGTGGCCACCTGATCAGCAATTAATAAGTTGAATTGATCTTTGAGCATCTTAATGGAGTTTTTTAGGTTAATATCTGTTGGTCGTTGTGATAATAATTTTTCCTTCATCCCAATTTCTTTTTCCAAGTTGAATCTAGTCTGCGCTTGTTTACGTTTATAGGCATTATTCATAGCAATTAGTATTCCTCTTAAGTAAGCCTTGCCAGCATCCCATACAATATTTATAAGAAGTTTCCTTGTGCATATTAAGTTGAAAGAACTCTTCCATAGATTCCTTCAAAGCCTTAACCTTATCCTCGTAGTTAAACAAATTTTCATTTATTCTCCAAGATTTCCTCTTTATTTTTTGACCAATCTCCATCCAAACCATACTATGATCAGACAAGGTTCTAGGGAAAATTTTAGTTTTGTTACAATCTGTAAGTAAATCAGTCAATATCAAAACAAAGTCAATCCTTGAAAAAGAGTCATGTCTGTGAGAAAAAAAAGTAAAATCACGTTCATTGATGTGTTGTGATCTCCAAGCATCCATTAATTCTAAGTCATCCTTCATAGCAAAAAAGGACTTAGGTAATCTGGAAAGGGTTACATCCTTAGAAGTTGTTTTTTATCTTTTAACGTATCCAAAACCCCATTCCAGTCTCCCATAACAATCAAAGAGTTATAGTCCATCGCCACAATTTTCTGATGTAGATGTCTATAAAATTGCTTTTGAACTGCAAGTTGATTGGGTGCATAAACCCCTATTATTAAACACTTTCTTCCATTTAAATTTATTTCCACAAATAAATATCTTCCTTCTTTATCAGCTTCTTTTAAAACAGGTGAAAGATGCCTTTTGATATACATTGCAACCCCAGCTCTCTTTTTTAAGGCAGATGCAACAAACAGATCTCCAAGCTTGGAGTTCAATAATAGTTTTTGATCTTTAGCCACAATATGAGTCTCTTGTAAACATATAATGTCATTGTTAAAATGTCTTAAATAGTGAAAAATCTTGCGTCTTTTGTGGGGAACGTTAAGTCCACCTACATTCCATGATATTAACTTACACATTAGGAGATTTTATTCCACTGACAAGACTAGCCGCATATGATTTCACAAAGACCTTAGGACGAGCGCTGCCTACTGGCTGCGAAATAGCCGGTATTTGACAATCAGCTGCAGGGGTATCAGCTGGTGGTCGAGCTGTCATCTGTCTTTCCTTTTCCTTGCGTCTATGGGCTGCGCGCGTAATTCTTTGTTCCTTTCCATTAGCTTTTGGGCTTTCCTCTAGATCTTGAACAGAGGCAGAAGAAAAATCCACAATCATCTGCTCAACC